AATATCATCAAGAAACAGATAAAAAGCTATCTAAACATGGAAAAGGAAAACTAATTTGAATCTTTGTGTGTTTTAGACAGCATTAAAATATAAACCTAAAAATATATTAGGAAGAAAAATTAAGATAATTTAGAAATCAACTTCTAACACTTATTTTGAAATAAGGTGTAGAATGCTTCATTATTTAATTTGTCTATCCAGAAAGGCAAAAACTGAAAGGATGCATAAATACTATTTTAATGAATGTATTCAACTGGCTATGCTTAACAACTTATTTGTCAATTAAGTAGAGACTTTAATACAGCTCACTGAATCAAATTAGAAATCTCACTTAAATTCCATTTACAGTTTGGCCATGAAAGCTTTAAAATCATATATATACACACATGCCTCAAATGCTGTCTATTGTCAAATCATGTGGAATATAATCAGAAATTGAACTGAGTCAATCATAAATTCTGTGTCCGACAACCATTATGATATTCACTATATCACTTGGAATGTTAGTGTATTGTTAATGATTTGTCCTAATCCGGGATTGGAAATGAGTATCTGTCCTTCACAGATACAACGCCATTGTCATTTATGTGCATTCAGTCACTGTTAATATATTATTCATTTAAGCGATACGTTTTTGAGCAGCAATCTATGTAGTAGCTATTCTGTCAAAGATGCCAGAAGGAATCATTAGATTGTTTTCCTTTTTTTTTACATTTTTAAGGAAAAGACAGATACATAAGCACCTGCTTGCAGAAAAGGGCATGAATACTTTAGAAGGTGGAAGTGACGGCCTGTACCTGGAAAGACAAGGCAGAGGCTCCCAGAGACGACCTTTGATAAATGTTCTAAAAAGGAACCAGGGAGAATCAAAGACAGAAGTTACTGTGGTCTCTTAGAGGACAGGATGCGTGACAAAGGCAGAAAGAGAGGCAGCTCCGGGGAGGTGGGCCGGTGCGGGGCCTGGTGTTTCTGCGGACTTCGCTGCAGCGTTTCCCTGCTCTTCTAATCCCCACGCGCCCCAGGCCAGGCCGGCGGCTCGCAGGGCGTGAGTACCAGGCTTAGTGCGGGCCCCAGGGCAATCAAAGCCTCATCTTGGACTGTCAAGTTTCCATGCAGACATGTGTCGTGGTGTAGAATGAAATAACATCTAAACGGGGATAAGATATGGTGTAACATTTGAGATGTACACAAATTTTAAAATTAAAGTGTCAAATTTGAAACAAATAAATGAATAAATGCCTTGCTTATAGGTATCTCACCAAACCCTCCTGACGTCTGAGATCATAAATTCTCTGTCTTCATCAGTTGCTTTAGTAGATGAGCTTTGGAAAGTTGAATGAGCCACAGGGAGCAGTCGAAGGGTGAAATTGGAGGGTATTTCATCAGAAATATAATCCGGTAGCAGTGTAGCATTTCATTTGATTCCAGGAACTTGGAATCAGACAACTGGGGATTATATTAGGAATTATAAAGGGGGGAGGACCTGTGATCTGTTTTATTTAGTGTGGAGATGAGACCCATTTTCTCGGACTTCACCAGACAGTGAGAATATTATATTAAGAAAATAAATTGATATTTTATTATTTCCTTCCACTCTTTGGGAAATACAGGACTATAGCAAGCTTCACAAACTGTCTTATCAGTCACAGACTAATAAGACCAAGATGGCTGTAAAATTTCCTTCAGTTTAACTCAAGTTTAAACAGGACTGTTCCTGCATTTCCTCCCATCATTTCCTTTACAGAATCAAAATAATGTAACCAGAGTTCCTCTCCTCCCTTTTCACAAAGCATTTATTTCAGAAAAACTTGTAATTGTAAATTCTTTCTTCGCCCCTATGAAGGGAACACCTTTTTAAAGGCCTCTTGCTAAATCTACAACCCAAGGCTATCTTAAGCAAAAATCTAGGAGCCATCCCCTTGAAATGCAATCAAGGCAGGTTACTGCCTGTGTTTCCCAGTCTCTGTTGGTGGCTAGGTAGCTAACTTTGGCAAGCAATTTAATCCAAGTTATAAAATGACCTGTCTCAAAGACTGATAAATTTACTTTTCTTTGGGGTAAGCCTAATTAGCAAACATAAAGCCTATTATCATAGACCCTAGTTCTTAAACTCTCTTTCACCCCTTTTTACAGAGGAGTCAAGTTCAGACTGAGTTCTGGCCTCTCTCCTCTCTTACAATTGCCTTGAATAAAGTCTTTTTGCTTGTTTAACTTTGGTGAAAATTTTATGATGACAATAGGTTCTTCAATTTCCATTAAATTATATCACCTTGTCTTGAATACTTGTGTAAATGCAATTGTTTGCTGAAGCAGAGAGTTTTAATTTTATAGTGAAAATAACAAACCAGCTCTTCTACTGTGTATTTGTCAGTATAATTTAAAACTTATTTCCAGTCAATATTTATCAAAAATTAGATTGAAAGAAAAAAAAAACACTTTGTAAGGAATATTTGATTCTACCTGTGTTTCAAATATCTCATAATCCATTTCTAAATGTAGTTAAGAAGAAAAATGTACTAAATCCTATAGAAGTTTTTTGCTTATTTATTTTTGAACTTTGGTGTGCATAAAAACAGCATGTATGGATGGAAACTGAAAGAAACTGCTATATGAAACTTGTATTGTGTCATCTGCAAGGATGTATAGAAAAGTCATCCACAGCCTCTCTAAGGGGACCCCCTAGTGTCATTCTTACTGGCCTTAGTATGTAGAGCAATTGTTCTTGCCACGCCGGGCGTGGCTCAGCGGTTGAGCACTGACCTAGGATCCAGGCGATCGGGGTTCGATTCCTGGTCAGGGCACATGCCCGGGTTGCAGGCTTGATCCCCAGTGGGGGGGTGTGCAGGGGGCAGCCAATCAATGACTCTCTCATCATGGATGTTTCTCTCTCTCTCTCTCCCTTTCCTTTCCTCTCTCTGAATTCAATAAAGACATATTTATAAAAAAAAAAAAAAAAAAAAGGAGAGAGAACAATTCTTTCTCCTGAGTCCACAATGTGTTGTTATATAACGAACACTGGAAATGGTGTAACTGACCACCGTTTCTTCTGTTCTGCCTGCTAGAAATATTACGACCAAGTTAGTGGACAAACTAAAGTCTTTCTGTTACAGCATTTTTAAAATATGTTCTTTTTTAAAATATGTCTTTATTGATTTTAAAGAGAGAGGAAGGGGGAGAGGGAGAGAGAGAGAAACATCAATGATAGAGTCATTGATGGGCTGCCTCCTGCACGCCCCCTGCTGGGGATCCAGCCTGCAACCCAGGCAGGTGCCCTGGCCGGGAATCGAACCCTGACTTCCTGGTTCATAGGCTGACTGACTCTCAACCACTGAGCCGCACTGGCAGGGCTTTAGCCATAATCTTGAAGTCCTTTTATTTTTCCCCCTGTGGCTTTGACTAAGTCCCTGTGTTCTCCTTCCCTTGTTCTCAAGGGCCCTGGCTGGAATACACAGATCAGTGGGTGTGCAGCTGAACAGGTTAGCAATTCACTTGCTGTGATTACAGGTATGAGGAGCCCTTCACTTTGGAAATTCTGCTTCAGCTTTTTGGGGTAATCCTTGATAAGGCTCCATCACTGAGGTTTCAGGGCCCCCACATTTTTGACAGAAGGCATTACAACAGGCAGCATTTTGATAGGGAGAATCAGAACAGGAGATTCCAGGAAGGCCACATGCCATTTGGTAATCAAGTAAGTTATTCCATGGGCACAAATAACCAGAAATATGTGGGGGAGCCTGTGGAGCGAGAGATCCCATTAGACCGAATGACGTATAAAGAGCGAGAGATGCCGCCACAGAGTGCTTGGCTCTGAATGACAGCACTGCCACTGTCTCGGGGGGGAGGCGTGAGCAAGCGGCAGGACCTCCACGCCTCTGAACCCCACACCTTGAAAGTGCAGGCACGAACGGTGTCCATCTAGTAAGGTGGTTGTGGTGGTTGCAGAAGTGATATAAAGATAATAAACACTGTGTAATTTTGATCCTGCTGGTTTGATCAGGAGATACATAAACAACACACCAAAAGAGGTAATTTTAGAGAACCTTATTTCAAGTTTTTCTCTGAAAAGCCCTTGCATCTAAAATAAGAGCAAGACAAAGATGCACATTCAATAAAACATTTTCTCAAAGGAAACAATCTATATATTTTTAAATAAATGGAAATTCTGCTCTATTTTACCATACCGTCTATTGTATTCCTGAGCAAATAGAAGCCCACCTTTGGGCTTCCTCCCCTCCCCTCTTCTCCCGTCCTCTCCCCTCCCCTCCCTTCCCCTCCTTCCTTCCTCTTTCTTTTTTTTTTTTAATTTGCCAGAGATTGGTAAGGATATTTCACAATTCATGAGGTTTTAACTTTTCATAAGGAGTTTTTTTTGTACACATTTCTTCATTTTTCTCTTGTTAAATCCATATTTCTGCTACTGTATGATTCTTTAGTTTTGTAGAAAACCACTATTATCTTATTCTAAAGTACAGGTACTGATTACAAATTAACCTCAAAGTACAGCGAAAATGGTTTATTAGAATTAACTAAAAAATCTATTTTGCATAATTGAATAATCCACAGCAAGTTATATAAATCATGGGTGAATATATACAGAAAGCTTTATATATAATATAACAAAAAACTGAGGTTTAAAGGTAACTAACTTCTTTGGGGGTTTTTATTATAAAATTGAGAATTATAAATCTTAGTTTACCTAATGATAGTCACAAAACTAGTTACTGTCTTTACTTGCTCTTTTCAGTTTTGTGATTTAATTACAGTCATGTATGTTTAATTTTAAGGAAATAATGAAACTTTTTAATTCTTCTAGGTTCACTCAGATAAGAATAAAGACACAGTTACAGACACATAAAAACTAAAACAGAGTCAATGATAGCATTAGGCAATGTGTTGCTTTTTTGCAGACAAGTTGAAATTCTATGTTATAAACATAATCTTAGAGTTAGCTGCAGGTTGCATCAGCGACACGTTTGTAATTAAATGAATCCTTTGCTTGTCACTAAGTAATCGCTGTGGAGCTGAGGCAGGTGAGTGCCCAAGGGAGGCCTGTGCACATGTGAGCCCTTGTGTTGATCTTCACAGCGCCTTTAACTTCCTGTGTTGGAATGGATTTCAGGGTAGGCACGCATGCTAACCAAGCTGTGATAACGGAGGGTTAATTTGAGGTGGAAATAACTCTTTATTTTTAGAAGATACAATCTATCTTATAGGCATGCAAATCAATGTTTTCCAAAAGAACATTTGAATATATAATATCTGCTTGGATTATTTTACTACATCTTCACGTCATCCTAGGAACAGGTATATTTCAGTGTGGAATGAATATTTTGCTTCTGTAAATGAACCAGTGTGTTTTTTAAAGAAGATTTATACACTATAAGTCCAGTACACTTATACTTAAAGTGTGTAATATTTCTTTTAACACCACTTTTCATTTTGTTACTATGGGAACCCTTGTCAAGATATATCCTTTATTTTGATGAAGAGCTGGTCATGTTTTAAAATATCTGTTTTTTACATTAGGAGGAAATTCTAAAATAGGCAGGCCTTTGTTTTCTAAGACTGGAAAAAGCAGTAGGACTAGAAATACTTTCCAAGATATAAGCAAATATAATCAAATTGCCAACATTACGAGCCAAAATGTTACCCAAATTCTAACTTCCACAAACTGTTCCTAATTCTACTTCTATGCAATTAATTCATTGATAAATAAAAACACTGCATTCTTTTTTAAGAATTAAGGAAGTCAAATTTGTTTTGAAAATTATGAATGTAACAGTGGGCTTTTTCCCTACTAAATCTAGAAGACTGGTTTTATATAGTTAACCTTAAGAATGGTCATCTTCAGAAAATATGTGGACACTACAAAAACTCAAAGTGATTTCTTAAAATTGTGTGACAGAGAGCAACAACAAGGCCTTTTGGAAAGATCAATTTTGCTACATCCCCATCTGCAAAGAAAAAACTAGTTTTAAATGTGCCATTTTTTTTTTCTCACAAAGTTAATCCATAAGGAAAATTACCAAATAAAAAGATTTAAACAAAGTATTTATGGACTCACATTATTTTTAATTTTCACTTTTTCTTCAGTTTAACCAGATGTTCTAATGTCATACTTTCACTTAATATATTATCAGTGATAATAGTAATAAAAATAGATTTTATATTCTTGGGTATGCTTTTTCCTATTTAGATGTATATTACATTCATTTTTCTCCAGCCCATATTCAGTTCAACATTTTAGAGAAAAAAATAGAGACTATTAAGAAAACTTCCATCTATCCAATTTGTAAGTATAATGTCCTATGCATCAATGAAAATTTTTCTATCCTTGTTAAAAATTGGCAAATAAATAAATAAATAAATAAATAGCTGCGATAAGTCTTAAGAATTAATTCAGTGTCAGTTTAGGCTGTTTTCAACTCTTTGCAAATTAAGAAACTATCCAAGTGATATAACAGGTGGAGCATTAATGGAAAATCTGCATTGCAGAACTAGTTAAAATAAAATGTTAAGACTATGTAATTAATGGACATTTCTGTTTTCCTTTCTTTCCATGTAGGCTTGTTATGTGAAATTAATAGGAAGAAATTTGGTTCATCACCCAGCCTTTATACCACTCCATCTTCAGAGCTCACGGAGAAATTCAACTGTGCCTGTCCCCCTGGCTGCACTGGTAAGTAACTTTTGGCAGTTGTGCCTTGTAGAGACCATTGAGCCCTGGGGAAATGCACCAGGAAGCTACTGGTTCCATAGTGTATCCTTTTTGTTACTTTTTAATTTCGTTTAGCCTGGCATTTGATTTGCATTCCAATAACTTTAAACATGCTTTTCCATCTCTAGACTCCAAAGCAGAAGATAAATTAGTTCACATGAGCAGACTTCGAATGCTTACCAGATCAGAGGGGGGTAGTCTGCAGCAAGTAATTTCAAGAGAAGTCGTTTTTAGGAAGGTGAAATAAATGGGTCTGACACTAATCTATGTAGTGATCTTATCTCAAGAGTTTAGTCTTAGATGTTACCCCAGATGGACTAAAATATTTCAACACATTTAAGAATTTACAACCTGCTATCTGCTTGCCTTTTAAAACTTATGATGTTATTATTTTTCAAAGGTGCAAAATGTGAACTTGATGCAGGTGAGTGTGCCTCTCATCCTTGCAAGAATGGAGAGACTTGCATTGACCAGCCTGGGAGCGACTTCTGCCAATATGTGGCTCCATTTAAAGGTAATACCAAGGGAGAGGACAAGCAAGCAGAGTTAAAAAGCATTTCTGTCTCTTGTCTGAACTCATTTCAGTCTGCCAACAACATTATTAGGCTTTCATTTTCTTAAAGTCAGCTTCTAAAGGGACCAACCAATTATCCCTTAGGCAGAAACTAGAGTGAGATAAGCTCTGTTTCTCCATCCACTGTAATAATTCATCTTAATTTTTGTTAGAAAGGCCACCATTACCACCAAATGACACACTGAAAAATAAGTAAGAAATACATTAGCAGCCTATCATTTCATATTTAAAATGTATTTTTTATTACTCAATTTCTCATGAAATTGCTAAGGTTTTCTTTATTTTTTTCTTTCTAATCTAATCATTTAATTTTTGAAAGTAGCTATATTTGCTTTAAAATATAGTCAGCCATTAACATATATTTTTTATTTTGTTTCAACTTTGATCATACTTTAGCTTCAATTAAGAATTTTTCCCCCCAAAGCTAAATAACTTTATGGTTGCCTTGTAAAACATATATTTTTATAAATTACTGTGCAAACTAGTATGTAAAAATCACTAGATATTTTCTTAAACTTTAGTATCTTTTTCTAAGCTGCAGAATTTGAAAAGTGTATCAGCCATGGTTCTCCAGAGAAACAGGACCAATGGGAGATATGTACATCTATATATATTTTACGGAGATTCGTTATGAGAAATTGGGTCACACAATTATAGAGACTTTGCAGTCCCACCCCTGCCATCTCCAAGCCAGAAACCCAGGAAAGTCAGTGGTGTAATTCCAGTCTGAGTCCAAAGGCCTAAGAACCAGGGAAATGGCGTAAATCTCAGTTCAAGGACAGAAGAAAATGAGTGCAGCTCAAGTCGGCAGGCAAGAAAGAACAAGTCCGCTCCTTCACTTTTTATTCTAGTCAGACCCTCTCAAATTTGGCTGATGCCCAAAGATATTGGGGAGAGCACACTGCATTACCGATTCACTGATCCAAATGCTAATCTCATCAGGAAACAATTCCACAGACACACCCAGACAAAAAGTTTAATCTGGGCACTTGGTGGCTCAGTCGAGTTGACTAATAAAATTAACCATCTTACTTTTTAATTAAATATAATCTTTTTAAAAGTTGTATTTAGTTTTCTTAGAAAGTATCTTCTTATAATTATTAACAAAAATAAAAGATTACATGTCTAACTTCAAATATTTTGCATCTGTTTAAACTCACCAAGTTATAGTTTTCTTATCTGTTAAATGAAGTTGAATGGAGATTAAATGAGATATGTCATATAAATAGCACATTGCTTGCCAGAAATGGCAAATCATCAAGTGTTTAATTGTGATTTTAAATAATTTTGTAATACATATATGTGCAATAGACAATATTTTATGTCCATACAATAGACAGAATTTTATGATGCTTGGTTAGGTAGGATGTCAGTACATATTTAATTATACATTTGAAAACAAACATGAAAATAGTCTAAGTACTCACAATATATAATATGTCTGTAGTATATATTAATATGTATACTAATATATATATTTTAAAAACAATATAATATGTATTTTATTTTTAAAATAGCAAAGTTTGCCTGGTGCCCAGATCTTTTTTCTCATGCTATTCTCCAATAAAAGGAATCAGGTCTCCTTAGAGATCTAGCTGGTTCTAAGACTAAGACATGAAATGTACAAATAAGTGTGGAGAATATTGTAATATCAGAAACCAAGGAATTACTCCAAAAACAAAACCATGACTGTATGTAAAAGGGACACAGGAGCCAACAGAAGGCATCCCCACTGAATGACCAAAGCTAGAATAATTTGAGCTAGAAAATAAGAGTATTAATTACTACACAAAATATAAAATAAATATCCATGAGTTCACACTGATAAAAATAAATGATTGAATGAACAACTAGGCAACAATACACACATCTTGTGTACAGAACAATTTCAAGCAATGTATGTAGTTACTGTGCACTTCAGAGGTGGAACATAACTCTCCATCCCTTAAGTTTGGGCTACACATAGTCACTGCCTTTTAAAAAGTACATTACGGAGTCCTGGCCAGATGGCTCAGTTGGTTGGAGCATCCTCCCAATACAGCAAGACGTTGTGGGTTCAATTCCCAGTCAGGGCACATACCTAGGTTGCAGGTTTGATCCTCAGTTGGGTCATGTACAAGAGGCAACTGATTGATGTTTCTCTCTCACACTGATGTGTTTGTTTGTCTCTCTCTCTCTGAAAAAAAAAAAAAAAGAATTGATAAAACATACTCTTGGGTGAGGATTTTAAAAATGTACATTATGGAAACTGGTGTTGGAGAAGAGTAATTTTATGAGCTTTTTTTTTGAAAATTCAAAACTGTGTACAGTTATTTCTTCCACATATGTGAATTTGTAAGAGATAGTTGCTATGAGTATTTTAAGAATATACCCTTGTTCAAACGTTTTGTCATTTGGAACAGTTATATTGCATTTCCAGTTGTAATTTATTAAAACATACACTAGATAAAGAAATTCATCCAAAATGTGGACTGTGATTTTATAGCCCATTTATGGGTTACAATAGAAAATAATGGAAAAATCTTCATATAATTACTTCTGTAAAGCTAAATAATGCAGTGTTTTTATGCATCATAGTTTCTAGCATTATAATTACAGATCCTCCACAAATAGCATAACTTTCACACATACTTTTATTAACACTGTATATCTTTTGAAATCTGTAGAATATTTTTAAAAAGAAGAACAAATAGATACAGAAAATAAATCTCTCAATATTATTTTTATGTGTTATTCATCCATTAGAGTTAGCAAATAGTTAGTTTTGATTTAATATAGGTTCCTTTCAAGGTTTTGAAAGGAACTGAACCTAGCAAATAAATATCAAAAATGCATTTTCTTCTAAAGGAAAGGGCATTATTATTTTTCATTTACTACAAACTGAATTTTTCTTCAGCAGTGAACACAGAATTTTAATAAATACAAATGGGTTTCGCCTTCCCTGATAGATGCAATTAGTGTAATTTCTTTTAAGAAAACCGAATGCTTTATGTAAAAGAAAGCAAAATATGGACTATATGCATATTTGGATATCACAATTTTCTGTTTTAGTTAAAACAAGAATATATAAGTCAGTCATTCCCAAGAGCACTATTGTCATTAACCAGTCTATTGTTGAAGCCCATCATTGCTAACTGGGGCACCCTCTACTAAAGCCTTCTCTGTCCAACACTTCCAAAAATTATTCATTAATATTAATTTATCTTGCTATGTAAAATGTACTATCTAGGATTTTTGTTCCTACATATGGAATAAATAGAAATAAATAAATCCTCAATGTATAATTTTTTTCTTCTACATAGGAAATGAAAATTATTAATTATGCAGACACACACACTCTCCTGTTACTAATTATACTTAATCATCTTTCCTCCAGAACTAAAAACAATTGTGTATGTGGTCATGTTTTACAAATACTAGTTATTATTACTCTTTTTAAAAATATATGTAATCAGTGCCAACTAGAAGTGCCCAATCAGCAATTTTAAATTCTAAACATAATGTCCATGAAATCTAATGAAAGTAAATGTGAAGATGATGACTATGTATAAAAAAATTGCTCCTTTCAGACTTAGCCACTGCTCTCCTTACCAGTGAAGCACTTAAAAAGACAAAGTCATTCTCAGAATTTGAAGTGTTTTCTTAGTAGGTAAGATGACTACAACTTCCAAATTGCCTATTTACACATGAGTGATACCTTGATCTATATTAAATTAAATGCATTTCTCTATAGAAAACTATGATAAATCTATGCCCTGGCTTTTGTGGCTCAGTTGGTGAAAGCATCCTCCCGTACACTGAACTGTCTTGGATTCAACTCCTGATCAGGGCACATACCCAGTTGGGATGTGCATGAGAGGCAGCCAATCGATGGTTCTCTTTCACATCACTGTCTCTCTCTTTCTCTTAAGAAAAACAAAACAAAACTATGATAAATCTTAAATTGTATGTGTATATTTACTAGTAATTAACTAACTGTTGATGATTTTATAATTCATAAAGTAAACTTTTTGCATATTGAATTTTATTACATAAAGGAATCCTGGGAGAGAATGGTGTTGCACGTATCATTGTTAAAGCAAGAGTCTTTGTATTTACATTACATTTTGGTGGTAAGAAATAAATTATTCCTCTTTTCTTCTAAAATGTAAAAGTTTCCAATACCTAATAAAAAGAAAACAGAGCTTTGATATACAGTATTGTTTGGTTTTCAAATAAATAGGTGCTTAAACTAATAAGGCTACATGTGTGCAAGTAGAATAGAAATAGTGTTTGAACAAATGTCTTATCTGCTAAAGCTTTAATGACGGCTGTCTCTAAATGTGTAGCAATTAAGATAAAAAAGCAGACATGGTAATTAGCCATTAAACATATTTGCAAAAGAAAGTAAAGAAAGAAAGAGAACTCAGCAAAATAAAATGCTTAAGTGTGTTGAAAGCCAGAATCATAATGCTGTTTCCTGGTTAGGACGCTCTGTATGGGAACTTTTAATTAGAAAGCAGATTTTAAGTACGTATTTTTAAGTGCCCCTGGAGTGAAAAAGACCAGAGTACAAATAATGGAGCAAACAGTTTTTCGGCCTTTGCAAACCATATCTCAGTCATTCTTGTGTTGAGCTACAGTGGAGAGCTACAGATGCTGTAATTAAATGCTCCAACCTAGCCACTCTCCAGCTATCCTAAACATGACAAACTATGTTGGCTGGGCCACACAGATAACCGTCTCTAAGGTTTTTTAAAAAGTTTAAATCAACTACCTATTAATTGAGTATATTAACAAAAAGTTAATTTGTTATAAATATTATATTAGAGGGGCAAGTGAATTGAATGAACTAAAAGTTCTGAGTTCATAATAAGAATCCAATAGAAAAAGAAACTTATTTAATAGTTGATGCTGATAATTTTGTCTCCAATTTGTTTTGTGTTGCAATTAAGACAGGA